TTTACTAGTAAATTAGTCTTTGAAATGTCATACTTATAATAGCAGACATAGATCTAGAAAGAGGTTGGTGCATGTATAAAAACGTTCAAGGGTTATATATACAGCCTTAAAATATCATGGTCATCTTTATCCAACATCTTCATGAGCTTTTTGTTTCTCTACAAAAACAAGATACACAAGGCTGTACTTTCTATTCAGACTATTTTTGCAAAGGGTGTATTACATTTGTTCTGACAAAACAGCTTCAAACACTTGCCAAGGAGAATAAATTACAGTAGGGATGGGTGATAATTATTAGGAACTTATTTTTGGAATAAGAAACCTTCCTTAATAAAGGGCTATGTATTGCCCTCTGAAAGGAACTGAGAATTTTCYTCAAAGTCAAAAATATACTTTTAGAAGTACAAGTACATATGCTTTGGGGGTTAAATTAGGTTTAACATGTCTTTCCTTAATGCCAAATCCAAGCTGGGTTCAACCCATAAATTACCAGGAACATTAAGAAAGTATATCTGAATTGTTTAAACACAAATCACTTGACATTTCTGATCTTCCTATTTTGTTTTAAGCAGAGTTTGATGGGCTTAAGGGATTCAAATCTTTCCAAGTCATGCAAATCCCAAATATTTTTAGAAGGACCTACTTGAAATAGTTGATAAAAACTTTATTAAGCGAGTCAAGCATCTTCTAGGAATGTACTGTGTAGTACCCTTCCAGGAATAAGATGTGCAAAATTAGAACTAAGTTACTTTATTTGTCCTTCCATCTTTTTGTAAAGTTGCTCTCTAAAGTTAGAATTAAAGTTGAATTAAAGTTGTGACCTTAATTATAATAAATGCAATATTAAATTCTAATTTTGACTGTTCTCACAGAGTTAGTTTAAAGGAATACTCAGGATTAATTAGTTTGAAAACAGGAAAGACAAAGAAACCCAACATAAGAAGAGCCTAAATTTAGTCCGGGTGGTAGATGCTCAACCTCACAAAAACATTTTTGACTTGCTTTTGTTTTTTCCYGATAATAACAGCATTTGGATTCTGTGTTTATTCCATACCAGGCATTGATTATTTAAAATTCGTTAGCTCTGAAAAGAAGTGATCAGAAAGCAAAACCTAAAATTAATTTAATTGAGCAAAAATATAACACTGCTCTGTTGTGTTTGAACATGCTTACCAAGTGCTATCATTTCATGATCACAGGTTACTTGACATGCCCTTGTGAAGTTTGTTGAATTAAGTCAAATGTAGCTTTCCTACATTACTTGTTCTTGTAAGATAGATATATCAATATGACACTAAAGGGTCATTAAAAGAAAAGGTAAATGAAGATCAAGGATTTAAATTTCTTTCTCCTTATATAACCCACTACAGCCATGTTGGACCAAGGCTATTGAAACATAAATGGATCGTTTTTATAAACTGATTGTTAAAAATGGACTTCTCATGGTGTTTCTATGGCTCATTCACCACACAATAACACTATCAGTAGTTACTGATTCCTGAGAATAGCAGYTTAGTTACACAGAAATTTAAAATAGAGAATAACAGTATAGGTGCAAACATAAACTGCCCTGTCTTTGAGTGGCTTATTAGTAACTGTAATACTTCAGATAATCTTTTTTTGTTTGTACAGATTTTAATTACTAAGTAGGTCTGATAAAATAGGAATTATTGTGTTATCACAAGTGATAAAATATATGAGCATCGCAGTCTGCAAGTGTAATATACATAAAGCAAGATTAATAGTATCAAGCAATTAAACTGTAGCTATCTTTAAGGGAAAAAGAAAGGTTTAATGCTACCCTTAAGTGTAACTTCAGCTCTCACTAAATATTTTTAACTGCAATAAAAGCATGTTAATTGTAGAAGTGACTTTTTTATAAGACCTCATTTCTTAGAGTAAGTTTTCCTTTCTAAGAATACAAAAGCTTCCTGAAATAATTTCTATTTGTAACTCATTCCATAATAGGCTGAATTTTCCTTGGCTTTTAAGCTCAATGAAGTAAAGCCCAAAAATAGCACAGGAAATTTTTTGTGCTGTGAATATATATATGAACTAAATCCAGTTGAGATTTAAATGATTAAATTATTGATGTCATTGTTGGTCCCACAGCATTCTGTTAGTCATATGGTGGTTCTTAAATATTTTGAGAATTAGACCTTAGTTTGGGCATAAGAGCATATAAAATAGAGGAAAGAGTATTTTACTTTAAAATATCCTAGTATATACAAATTACAAATACTAATATAAAATAAAATAGTAGGCATCTAATAATAAATTATTTTTAATGTGTTTCTGGTTTTCCCCCTACTTCCTGAATTATTTTTGTGACACCATTAGGAAGATCAATGCCTGTGCTTCCAATTTAGCTACACCTTTGCTTCTCAGTAATGTGACAGGTGGCTTTACAGTGTATTTAACAGGACCTTAGTAAACAACAGATAGAGCACTTAGTGAAGTATATAGAGCTCTTTACAAAGAGCTTTGTAGATCTGCCCCCTTTCTCTTACTACTGCTATCTTCCCTCCCTCCCTCCATCCATCCATCCCTCCTTCTCTCTCTCTTTCCTCCACTCTCCTCCCTTCTCTTCCTCCCACTTCCCCTCCCYTCCCCGCTTCTTCCTCCCTCCCTCCCTCCCTTCCACCCCCCTCTCATGCAGATTTAGTTTTTGTCCCAGAATTATTTAGTCCTGTGGCAACTTAAAACTTTGAAGCAATGTGAAGCAATTAYAAAGCAGCACATAACAGATTACACAAAATTACTAGAGACCTGCATTTTGTGTAGTTTTGAAAATATTAAACATATAAACTGTTGGACACAGATAAAAATCAGAAGTGTTGTATTCAGTGTAAATTACCAGCCTTTGCAGTTGCCCTCCTGACAGTACTGCAGTAGAATTTGCTGCATGCATGTATCTGTGGGCTTGTTTTTTGARGCTAAGCTAATACAACTCTAACCAGCAGGAAGATTGCAAGAGAAGTTTGAGCAATAACTGGCATTTAGTTATAAAAATCATAGGTATAAAAATTATTTTTAAAAAATAAGCTACTTTGTTTATTTTGCTCTTGAAGCACTGTCTGTGATGAAACCAAAAAGGTTACTGMCTATAGGAAAATTACAGGCATTTGAGCTGTAAGGAAGACTGGGAAGGATAGCAACACTCAACTGTGGTTGTGTACCAACCTTCGTTTGTTTTATTTTTGTTGGAATTTTCTTTCATTTGTATCAATTGAATAATTTTGAGTAGCTTCATTCTAAATATTTTAGTCATTTAAGAATGCACTTATGTATGTCAGTTAAAAATTCTTTTCAGGAGTACTCAAAATGGTTTAATCCACATACTATTTTGCTTTGCCCATATCTATTTCCCCTGATATTCTTTGCTCTGGTTAATTCTTTGTAATTCAGAAGAACAACCCATTTAACTTAGAAATATTTTTCTTCTTTTTGGCATACTAAATATTAGCATTTGTAATTTAAAAGAATTAGAAGTGTGGGAGAAGTAATTTTTTTCTTAAGGCACACAAACACAAGCATATTTGACAAAATATATAAATTTTAACTTAGTCACTCATCATTTTAGCATGGAATATAATTTTAAAGATAAAGGAAAATGACAGAAGATGTAAGCATTTTAAAAAAAATGTCACCTGGGCATTTTCCCCCCTGAAAAATGCAGTAATTGATGTAGTTAAAAAAAATACAGTCTAATTATTCTGATTAATTTGGTAATAATWATTAATAAAACTTAAGTAGTTGATGTCATAGTTTTCAATAATTAYGCTGGGATATATAGGGGTGGTTATATACTTTTTTCCCCACAACTTTAATTCCTCCTTAAATATAATACTCCCAGAGAAAAGTATTTAAATATTTTCTTTTTCCTCACWGTAACTTCACAGATGGTTATATTTGGTTTCAAATTTTACAAAGAAGTAATATTTCCTAGCTAAATTATGAGCAGTTTTTTCTATTCTCCATTACTTGATAGCACTAGCAACTTAGAACAATTAAGTCTTTGCTATGTGCCAGAATCACAAAATACTCACTGAAGTATTTAAGCAAAAGGCTTGTTAAGAAAAGTGTAGCAATATTATATAAAATTAGAAGTATAAATGGATAAAAGTATACCAAATTGAATTATTCCTATTTGTGTTGTAAGCATTAGATATAAATTGATTAATTAGCATTTGCTGAAAGTATAAAATGTCACTATTTATGTAATACAATTACACACAAAGTTACTATTACTGTTCATGTCTATTCTGTGATACTCATTTACCTGGCCATAGAAATCAACTTTAAAAGCTTCCCTAGAAAGAAAATATATCTATTCTAAAGCTAAATTATAAAGTAATTTATAATTACTAAAGTATAATTATATTTTCATTTAAAATAACTATATACAGTTTACCAAAAAAAAAAATATGTACAAGAGTACTAATTTTCCCCTACATATAATGTTAAATGAATATTTTAAATAAGAATACCATGCGAGAATGCAGTTTTATAGGTTTGGCTATATTAATTTGTTATCATATAAATGCTTGCAAAAGGTTAAGTTAACAAAAAAATTGTAAAGATTATGAAATTTGGGRAAATTGTATTTTTAATTCAGATCTTTACAAATGAGGTAACTACTAGACCACTACATATTCATTTTTTCTTTTTTCCTTTTGAGGATTTGTGGTTTTTATTAAATATGAAAAATTTCTACACTTTTTAAACATGTACACTTAGAGAAATAAAAGTTTAATCATCTTAGCCTAGTATAGAATTTTAAAATTAGTTTAAATGCCTAAAACTTATATTTTACTGTATTTTATATATGTTTGCTCAAAACTTAAATTTTGCTGTAATGTGTCTTTGACATATAATGTTTGCTCACTGTATTCAGTTAATAAATCAAATTTTTTCACAATTACATGAGAAAATGATAACTTGTTCATAATTCCTCTCAAAAGTACCATTTTCTAAATTTTTGTTTTGTTTCTCTACAGACGGTGGGTGCGGCTGCTGTTTGGCAGAGAGTTCCCTCTGCAGGACCTCCTGGTKGTCTGGGATGCCTTGTTTGCAGATGGCCTCAGCCTGAGTTTAGTGGACTATATCTTCATAGCCATGTTACTCTACATTCGAGATGCTTGTAAGTATTAGGACTTTGCTTGTATTCGACTAGGGAGCCCTGATTTTCAAAAGTGTTTTTTTGCCTTTAAAATATATTTTAAACTTTATTTTTCGATTTACATATACCTAAATTTTTATAGTAGATGATATAGCAATGATTCTATGGAAAATTGTAAGCATCTCTTTTATCAGTAGCCATTATGTTTTTGGAGATGTGGAGGATGATTTTTATCATGAAAGAATTGAAGTATTTTTTAGAACCATTTTTCTCAAGATACTCCTGCTTTAATCTTCTTGTTACACACATTTGTGAAATTCATGTATAAAAGCCAGTATTTCAGATATGTGTAGAGCTCCACCTTCTGACATATAGTAGTATTCAACAATGTTTATCTGAAAGTTGGAGCTGTTTGTATAGTATCATCAACTTATTAATTTAAAAAAAAAAAAGAGTATTTGACTTCTTCCCAGTTAAATTTTATCAAAATTCATTCCCCAGTGTAGTGTCTAATGGTAGAGGCATTCCCATAACCTCAGATCTACCTAAGGCATCTTACCATAGCCAGAACGCCAGTGCCTACCCCCTTTCAATACTCTGATAATCCTTGTCATGAAGAAAATATCAGAGCATGTTTTAAATTTCAAAGTAATCCAAATTATTTTTCTTTTCAAAAATAATCACAGTTCACAAACAAGATTTATAAGCCAAAATTAGTAAAGATTGCACTAAGTACTGTTGTTGAATTAGGAAGTAAAAAACTATTGTTAAGATTAAGCAGCACTTTGTCAAAAGAACATATACCATTTGGAGTTGTTATTTATCATGACTGTTAACTTGCTATATAGCTTTCTTTATTTCTTAATAGAATACCAGTTGTGCCAGATGCTCTTGTTATGCCTCTGGTAACACTAATATTCTTTAAAATTTTTAGATTATACTTTTTTAATTCCCTCAAAATTACTTAAATTAAATAAGTGACAGGARCACCACATTTTATCCAAAAATTGAGCTTTTTCCTGTGCCTTCAAGGTCAAACAGTTTGGGCTTTGACAGACAAAGTGAGAATTCCTTCTTTTGGAGCTAGAGCTAATCATATAAGAACATGGAAATCACCATAGAAGACATCTGGAAAGTAGCTGAGGCTGTTTGGATAGATGTGGTGGATACTTGATTTTTGRGTATTGCATATTTAGCTCCCTTTGAAAGTTGTATGTTTTTAAAATTGTAAGTAATGAAAAACAAAAAGAATGAGAAAACTGTTAGAACAAAAAAAAAAAAACTCTTGGATCATATTTTCACAGAACTTTCCACATCAAACAACTTCTGAAATGTATTCTGATTTTCTGTAATCTTAGACAATTAACAGTTGGTCTCTTCATGACTCTGACACATTACACACACACACACACACACACACACACACACACACACACACCTATATATTTGTAAATTGAATTTAATTGTCTCCTGAACTAAAATCTATTTTTTTAAATTTCATAAAACATGGCAAATTTGGGGCAGCTGAAGCCCTTATACATTTTTAATCTTTCTACTGATTGTTTTATAAAACATGGGCACATGTGGAAAAGTGCAGAAAAGAAGTTGCTTTTTCATATGAATATTTAGTCAAGCTTATTTTAATTTTGTGGCTAAATCCATATAATAGATGTTGTCTTTTAAAGATAGAGTGAATTTTTTTTTAGTTATTTATGGCTACTATTGTCTTGAAGAAGTTTTTCAAACTATTAGGGAATAATGACATAAACAATTTCAAATAGACACATCTGATATTGCAATTGAGAGGGAATGTAGTATGAAAATTTATGAAGAGACAGTGTGCCTCCTCTGGGCCAGCTGTGGGTGAGTAGAGAAAATGGTATATATACTGGTAAATCCAGTAAGGTGATCTGTGTTCAGGCTGAAGGAAGAGCATTCATAAGGGACTGGAAGTGAGAAGCCACTTTGTGAGTGTGGTGTTTGTGTTTGTGTTTCTACAAGCTCTTTGGGATTATTTGAGTAAAAGGAGTTAGTGAGATTATGAGACTAAAGATGTAAATAGGAGGAATCATGATAAAAGTCTTCAGCCTAAAATGAGTTATCAAAAGGTTCAAAGTAGAAGTATGATCACTTTTAGATCACTCTTGCAACAACATGGAAAATGAACTTGAAAAAGACAGAATAAGGTCAGATAAAAAGTTATAAGAATAGTTTAGGGAAAAACAGTGAATGCAGAAATGTTAGGAGATAGGTAAGGRAGAATGGGAAATCTAGAGCAATCCCCTGCTTTAGAGGCTTCAGTGGCTGGGTCATTGGGGAGAAAATACAAGGATCCACAGGTTTTAGGAATATAAATGATTGAGTTTTGGTCATGCTGAGTTTGAGATGCCTATGAGAAACCATCGCCTGAAGATTTGGAAAATAATGTTCAATGTCATTATCAAGGCTACTGGTTGAGGTTTTCAAATAATTACAGCTGTTTGTCAGTCAAGATTATAATAATAGATGCTGTCAATCTCCTAAGAAGAGAGTGACCATATATCCTAGTTTGGGGTAATCTTGGTTTGCATCTGCTACCCCAGAGTAATAATWATTAAAAGTATCCTCCTTTACTCCCAAAGGCATCCCATTAGGATCATGAAACTTATATGCCATCCTAAGTAAATTGGGTACATAGAGAAAGAGAACGTGGACAAAGGTGGAACTTTGCCTTTAGCATCAGTATTTAAGGAGAACTGGAAGAGAAAGAGCAACAAGTATTTGTACTGCAGTAAAGTAAGGAAGGGAAAAGTCCACCCAGATTTGGCACTCTGAAGTGGCACTGGGTACGTTTTCCAGAGTGGAATGAATGAAGTGATAGAACAGAAGGTTCTGGACAACTGAGAAGTACATGATCTATTCTTCAGCTTTTTGTTGTTGTTTTAGATATGAATTATTTTTATTATTTTTTTAAATAAATGACAGTAGAATGCATTACAATTCTTATTACACATATACAGCACAATTTTTCATATCTATGGTTGTCTATAAAGTATGTTGACACCAATTCGTGTCTTCATACATCTACTTTGGATAATGATGTCTATCACATTCCACCATCCTTGGTAAGCCCCTGCCYGCTCCCTTTCCCTCCCAACCCTCTTCCCTATCTAGAGTTCATCTAAAATGATGACCAAGAAAGTAAGACTTTAGAGATGGTTTATACAGGGTGATCTTTAAAGAAGAGAAGAATTAGACATTAAAGATGCAGTAAGAAGACAATTCAGGAGCCAAGGAAGTTGTCCTTAGACTGAAAGAGTGCACTAGAGTTGGGGGTGCTGGTAGAGAGGTTTACTTCTCAACATAGAGTATCTCCTTCAAGAGTCAGTGTTTCCCTCTTTTTTTTTTAAATGTTTTATTTTAAAATTTTTTGTGATACTATGGATCAAACCCAGGTCCTGGTACATGCTAGACAAGTGCTCTACCACTGAGCTACATCCCCATCCCTTTGTATTTTGAGACAGAATCTGGCTATATTGCCCAGATTGGCCTCTAATTTATCATCCTCCTCATCCTCAGTAGGTGGGACCACCACACCTGGTTTTCTTCTCCTGTGGCATGGATGAGATCTATGAAAACAGAAATTACCTCTTTTGTTTTTAACTTTCTATTTGTTTATTTTTTCTTCTTTTACACCTGCCCCACCCTCCTCTATTCCCCAGTGAGAGACAGGATTTTGTCCATTTTGGTTTTCCTACTGTGCACTAACATCTATAACAGAGCCCAGTACATAGTTAACCTTCAGACAAATATTTTTTAAATAAAATAATTTAAACAAGGGCCCAGAGGCAATAAAAGAGAATTGGAAGACTGACTATAGAACAGGAATGAAAAACTGGTGCAGATACATGAAGGAAATACTAGGCTGGATTCAGAAACGGACCAGTTTATATGTGGAGAAGACCAAAAATGGGGGAATCCCATGCCATCTGCTGGGAATGAGTTAGAGTAGGGCAAGGGCTTTGAGGGGACTGATTAAAAGGCATGGTAAATATGGCTGACAAGGACTAGGACGAGTAGCTGGTGAAGATCCTCCAGTGATGAGCAAAGGGCAGTGGCACTAGACCTCAAGGTTGTAGTTTTTCCAGCTGTACTGAGGAGTTAGAGTGAGGTAAAAAAAAAATAAACTGTAATGTAGGTTTCAGGTTGGGTTTACTTTCAAATGAATTAGGCAGAACTGAGGAAAAGAAGGATAGAGGGTGTTGGGTACATTTTCAGACAGTACTTTAGGATGTATAAGAAGGGAAGCACAGTCAGGAGACCACTGAGAAGAAATGAAAGTATCAAGGAGTTGGAAACAGGGTAGAAGAGACATGAAAGCATAAATATTGTGGTCACACAAAAGGACAGGAAATGGTTCTAGATGTGGTCAATATGGTTGAAGTGAGTGAAGGGTGAAGTAAGTCACTCAAGATCAAGGGATTTTGAGGAAGGTAAAATTTTTGTGCCACATATAAACTGGTCTATTTCTGAAACTATGGTTCTCCATGAACACTTCATCAAGAATCAAGATTTGAAAAGAAGATATAGAAAAAATTTTTAAAGAATCAGATACCAAAACCTCAAACAAATGCTGAAAGCATGACCAAGAAAACAACTCTTATTCAGTCATTTATTCAAAGAACCAACAGTTTAACCAGTACTTATTGAGTTCTTGCTATTTGCCAGCTATTGTAGTACATGGATGAAGTGATACATAGATGTGTGATGGATGTATAGAAGTATGGCATGAACTTCAGTGGAAGAAGGATTTTTATGGGAAGATAGGAAGCAAAGTTTGGAAGCAGCATTGGAGCAAGGTGATCCCCCACCTCACCTATAGAGGTTGCAGGGAAACCAGTGAGTACAGAAGAGCCAGGCTTCSATGGAAAGACTTTGTTCCTCTGAGGGAGGATCATGAGGGAGGGGAGCAGCAGGAGAAAAAGAGGATACAAAACAGGATTGGGTAAAGTATAGGAGAGGGCAGTGCTAATTAGATGAAT